GGAGCTCAGCCTCTGGGCCTGAATCTGGCCCTGGCCCTAGAAGCGTGTACCTGGCCACAAAACGGACAACAGTACACCCGTTAGAAAAACAGCAGYAAATAAATAAAATAAAGACTATAAAAATAATCTAAAGCTGGCGTTTTTCTGATGCAGGCCCAAGTAAAAATGCCATAGGGCCTTCAGGTTGCGGTGACGCGACCTGGGGGCCCTATTCCAACCTCGGGTCCCGTGAGGGGCCCGTGTGTAGGCTTTCAGCATGTAACACCCAGTGATCAAAGGAAGGTGGAATAAACTAATTGGACCTGTCGCAGACCAGATAGCAAAAATCCCGTGGAAAAAATATATGACGATAAGACCCATAAAAATCTGAAGCATGCAGTGGCTCATCACATACACTGCTCTACCGGTTAACCAATGGCTGCATGTTAGGAGAAGGAAGAATGATCCAACCAGCTCTGACATTTGTGTAGTCTGCTCTGATCAAGAACAGGAAGACCTAATACACTGCTTGATTAAATGTAAAGAAGCTAAATAATACTGGGCGCGGGCGGCAGCCCTATGGGACACTCTCTTTTCTTCTTCCCTCCCTGAGCACCCCCTTGAACTCCTCCTCTGGACTAATCTACCATCTAACTTTGGCAAACCAGAAGGAAGCTGGTTTGGGATGTTACACAAAGTCACATTGTGGGCCATATGGAAATAAAAATGCAGAAGAACTTTGGAAGGCACGACGGACCCACGAGAGAAGAAAAGCGGAGATTCGCGGCCAGTGGAGGAAGGTCAAACTATGTGTTCAGAACCACCCAGATCAAGAACAAACGATACTGTCTAAAGTCAAACAAGTCTGGTTGGTAGGAGAAAAGGTGGTGTGGCTGAACGGGCTGGTCTTAAGATGGACGGAATGCCACAGTTCCGACAAGCCCTCAGTCCAGCAGAATACCCAAGAACACGAAGTACCAACTCCAATACGGGCGTAAGGCAGTTTCCATTAGCGTGCTGGGTAGGTCTTCAGCAGTCACCCTACATGCGACAGAATGACAGAGAGAGGATGGGAAGGTTTCCACATGGGGAACAACACACGAAAGGAGTGAGAGTCTCAGACAGACGGTCCCGAAGGGTTATCGTTCCTCAATATTCAAATATGGCAGCCGGTTCTACACATGCTCAGGATGCTGGCCCTGCCAGTCATCGGGAAAAGGAGGTGCTCCAAGGCAATCGAGGGTTCAGAGCTGACAAGGAAAGAAACATGGATCCTGCTGCTCAAGATGGTGGGAACAGAAGGTCGATGCAAAGGAGGGGGGTGACGACAACAAAATTGAGACTGTAGTCTCAGGAGGATAGACACCTCTCCCAGTTTCTCGTTTCTTTGAGTCATATTTGACAGACTCAGAAGGAGGTCTGAGAGGAAAACCAGGGTAGGGCAAGCTGACAGTCAATCCTCCAAAAAAGGAACAATCAATGCTGTTCAGGGTTCCTTCGGCCAGACGGGGGGACGCGTGAAAGTGTTCACCATGTATTTCAATATTTGACTACCGGTGGAAAGGAACCGGGCTGACGCTCCCCAGAATGGAAATGGAGCCAGGACCATAAGGACCTGTTTTGATTTAAAAAAAAAAAAAAAAAAAAAAACTCAATGCTGTCAACGTTTCTTGCTGTCACTGTTGTCTTAAGACCATCATTGACTTTCCTTCAGTAGCTGTCATCAACCTTCTTTTTCTTCGTTCCCTTCCCCCCCTCCCCCTTGTATCTTTGACTTGTCATGATGAACACAATCATCATCATCATGAATGCCAATCCTTCAGCATTTTCATTTCCTTCGTTTTTCGCCCATATCAGTTGACAGCACCAGTACCATCAGCAGCAGCACCAAACCTGCGTGTTGTTCTTCAGTGCACTTTGTCGTCAATAATGGTCAGACTGACCCTGACCCTTAACATCTTAGCCTCTAGCAGACCCTCCATGACATCACTCCTGAGACGCTTGCTGTTGAGTCCCTGTTGACAGCAGTTGCCTCATTTCTGTCCATTTTACAGATACTTCCGCAGTTGCCACCAGTTTCCTCTCTCTTGGCATTGCCAATGGGTTATGGGTAATATGGGTAGAATAGACCCACCAGCCCATCTGGCATCTCCAATCTCTCATCCCCTTCATTCGGCTGAGTTTTATTGTCTGATTGCGGGGATGAGGAGAGAACTTTGACCACTTTCATTGTTTCACCACAGGGCAAGAGGAGTCCGTGTAAGGATGGTTACAATGTGCATACTACAGACAGCACACACACATGCTGACTGCTTCCTATAAAGATTATCTCACACAGTGCACTGCCCACAGGCCAAGCTGATAAAAGACATTAGTTTATGCACAGAGAGAGAGAGAGAGAGAGAGAGAGAGAGAGAGAGAGAGAGAGAGAGAGAGAGAGAGAGAGAGAGAGAGTAGCGGGACCGGCATGCTCTAGATCACATCCACAGGTGGGAGGTGGTCCTCGTCTGCTTGTCTTTGTCGAGGTTGGAACTGCAACGATTGGACTCGAGGCTCTGGAAGAGAGAGTCGATGGCTTGAATTGCATTCACCATCTTCTTGTGGATATGGTGATGGTCATGATGGTGGCAATGGTGATGATGGCGATTATCCATAAGTTGATGATTTGTTAACTTGCTGGCAGTATGATATTTACTGAAGTGTCCTAGTGATTTCCAAACACAAGAGGTCTCTTTCTTAGCCTGGCCCTGTGTCGGATACAAGCTTCTCCTTTCTGCATTTCCACATTTGTCTTCTGCGGATCTCTCGCACTCATGATCCTTGTTAAAAGAGGAAGAGCATTGCTGCTTGATTGATATGTTTACCGGCCATACATGGAACAGCTTTGGAAGTTCCCCGCCTGGAAACCCACCTGTAAACCTGCACCATTCACTTGTCGCAAGTTATTCATCTGATGATTCTGATCACGTTCTGAAAATGTAATCAGTCCTTTGTTGGTCGTTCTGCTTTCCACCACAACTTCATCTCCATCATGCTGTTCTGCATGGTGCGATATCTCTAGCACACTGTCTGACGATGGAGTATGAGTGCCAACTTCCTGCTCTATCTCCTGGATCACCAGTCCTCCTATCTCGGAGCTACAAGGATCCATCTGCTTATCCACCCTGATATCGTAGAGGAGACAATTAGGAGTAAGAAAAATATCATTGCACGCAAGTCTTCGCTCCTGAACCTCAGGCTGCTCGCCACGCTCCACGTCCTCTTCAAGTTCAAGCCTGACGCTACACTCCTCGACTTCCTCATCTGCGCTGCTGTACAATGAATCCTGTGCACACAGAAGCCGACTCCGAGAGAGAGGCAAAATCAGCAGGCAAGTAAATCCTTCCTTGTAACCAGGTCACATGTGGTTCGACACATCCGCAGATCTGAACGATGCGTTGGCTCTATTTGCGAGGGTTGAAACAAAGTGGCCTTAATTTTGAAAAAAGTAGATCAGGTCATGAGTTCAAACCCTGACTGAAACAGATGGACACAAGAATGTGAGGGGCTAAGTTAACCCCCTTTTTTATGAAAAGAGTATACTTTAGTCTTCCTCTGAATATGAGGAACAGAGAAGCTCAATTTCCGTGCGCAATATGGGTGCCCACTGGGAGTCAAACTGGTGCTTGGCCAACAGAGATTTGTTGAATTTATAGAAACTAATGGCCACTCATCCGAGGGGTCAAATCCAATAGGCTATAGCCACACAGACAAAAGGATGCAAATTCTGGGGACGAAGTTCAACAGACTTATGCAATGATCACTTCTTGGGCCTTGGAAGTGCGCATCATCTGATTCATCTCATGTTCCATCAGGCATTGATCTCATACACAGGAACGGGTTCCTGCAGCCTCAGGGGGACTACGGCCAACTACCCATTATGCACATACCAAAATGCATAGCTCGCACACAACTTTCACTTCATTTGCAGGAATCCTCACAGGCCGCCAACCCCTGGTCGTTAACTGGGGTATTGATCCCCGCAACAGATTGGAGTCATAACCACACCGAGTAACCAACGGAACGACCGAGATAGATAGATAGATAGATAGATAGATAGATAGATAGATAGATAGATAGATAGATAGATAGATAGATAGATAGATATTGTCACACTGTGAATCAGAGCACGAAGGCGAAAAAAAGCAAAACAAGGAAAGGAAAAGAAGGAAGGAAGGAAAGCCCCACCTGTTCATCACCTCTTACGTACAAGGCCAGCCACGTGGATGACAGGTTGAGCGCTGGCTGCCCCGATCCCCGTGTGTCACAAGGACCTACTTGCACGCAGCCAAAAGGCAAAGAGGTAAAGAAAGGGAGGAGGAAACCAGACCTCACAGAGGCAAGAGAAAGAGAGAGGTCAAAAAAAAGATAAGGAAGAAAGCAAATGACACATCCCACAGATTAACCATTTGCCACTGTCACTACAAAGCTCAACATATTTTTTTCTTTTTTTCTTTTTTCCCTTCTCCAGACATTTGTACTTTTTTTCTTCTTTCGTTTATCTGTCCTACAATTAGTGTTGCTCCTGATCGCTTGATTATTTTGACCAGTCAGGAAGAGGAGCCCCCACCCCGGCAGATAGGACAGGCACGCTGAGGATGACGTGGATGTTCGCAAGGATACCCAAGGAGAGCTACTTCAGCACAGCATTCAGCAGGACGGCTAGCACGGACCATCCCATCAAAACAGTCCTGACAAAGGACATGCTGTCCAGATGTCAAAAAAACAGCAGGACGTTCATCACAGTGCGGCATCATGCAGTCCTGATAGCGTCCTTGAGCACAAAAGGGACAACGAATATCTGGGTGATAGAGATGTGTACAATGAGGATATGTTGGACACCCTTCGGCACAGACGGGGGCGGGTGCAATAGATTGATAATGTTGATGACATAGGTGATGAATTCCGCAGCCAAGACGCACCGTGTCCCTGTCCCGACAGGTGTCACACGAGAGTCGATCAATAATCCAGAATAAAGTATGATTCGCCGATTCGGTAATGCACACAGAAATTCATTTATGTTGAAAATAGCCTGAGCCATTGTCCCACCATCCCACAGTTCCCACTGGGCAATATATACGACGAAACAGTTTGTCACAGCCCCTCGTTTTTACCGGGCAGATCTATTTGACGATATATATATATACATATACATATATATATCTATTTGACGATATATATATATATATATATATACCTCCTGATGAGTCGGTGAAACTCCCACGAAACAGTTTGTCACAGCCCCTCGTTTGTTGTCCTCTTCTCTCTCTCTGCCTATGGTTTACCGGGCAGTTCTATTTGTGACGATATATATATAGAGGGAGAGAGAGAGAGAGAGAGAGAGAGAGAGAGAGAGAGAGAGAGAGAGAGAGAGAGAGAGAGAGAGAGAGAGAGAGAGAGAGAGAGAGAGAGAGAGAGTTGGGGATGAAGGCAGAAGGTGGGGGACGTGGCACATGCAGGGACGAATATGAACATTGACACAGAGAGGAGACATAAGCAAGAACACCAGAGACCAGCAGATCTAGGGACAAAGAGCAGAGCGATCGCAAGCGCCAAAGTGTAAACAAGCATTACCTCATAGTCTTTCATCTTGACGTCGTGACGCCCTTCATGCTCTTCACTGGCACACGGAAAATCACAATCCAGCAGCTTCAACTGTCGCCTCATAGCCGCTAGGGCATGCTCCTGCAGTATATAGTATATACCCATGTTTCAGATGAACTTTGACTCACCAGAAGCGTTTTTTTTGACTTTTTTGCCTTTTTGATGCTTTTCTCTTTTTGCCCTTCCTCTTGCAAAAAGTCCTGTCAGTGATTCAATGTACTCCAAAGAAGATCTTCTGAGACTTTTAAACCTTGACATCACAGGTGATGATCATATTCATGGGTAGCCTCGGCATTTTATCTGTTGCACGGCCCCTCGTATACTGGTGCAGTGTACAGCCAAGGGGCAAACTTGGAGGTGGTCTAACCACCTGCTGCCAAGTCCAAGGAGCTACAGACCATGGGCTGTGCTCCCTGAGTCCCTGCCCGGTTGAACTGGACTCCAACCAGTAATCTTTTCTCTTGAAGTGTGTTCACTGCTGTATGACGATGATGACGATGTCATTCATGCACTCATTTTATCTACCTGATTCCACCAGGATTTTAAATCATGATCTGTTTCACCAACAGTTACATGCATGTACCATTCAACCACATGGGCTGCGTTGAAATGACCTGGGTTCAAATCCAGCACAGAAACATACATCTGACATCTGAGTCAATGCTAGGCATGAGAAATAGGTCTGTACTACTCTGGGAGGTCCCAGAGTCTGTGAGAAAGGCCCTCGGTCCTACAGAATACGGTGTTACCGACTACCAGTAGTCCTTGTCTCAGTCAACAACGTTTGGTATGCAGACCCCTACAAAGTGACTGAACGGTGTAGAACCAGAGGTGCAAAGTCTAAGGGTAGCAAGAGACATAGCTTTTGACCAAGCCCAAAGTTCAGGGGTCAACAGTTGATCTTACAGATTCTGAAAAGTCTTCGGAACTGATATGAAATCCACGCAGGCATGACACGGGGTGTAACCTCTGGTCAGGTCAAAGTTCTAGGGACCAAAAGTCACTTTTCAGCCTCTGAAGAGGCACCGGAAAAGTCTGTAGGTTGGTAGCCTCAGGGTGAAGGCCCTCAAGGGTCAATTTGAGACGTCGACGGCCTGCAGAGTCAAATGTAGGCTCTAGGAAAGTCAACAGTCAGGCCCTTCACGAGTGCGTAGCGCCGAACCGGTTAGCGCTACACCGGCATCACCAACACAGATTGCGACGACACATCCATAGCCGCCATCACGCGGCTTCATCGCATGGCATCACTATCATGGAATGCGACAACCCATCCATAGCTGCCATTGCGCGGCCTCGTCGCGTAGCGTCACCATCAATTACTGCGACGAGACATCCATAGCCGACATCGTGCGCCTTCATCGCGCGACACCACCATCACCGACTGCGACGTCGCATCTATAGCCGCCATCGCCCGGCTTCGTTGCGAGGCATCACCATCACCGACTGCGATGAGGTATCTATAGTCGCCATCGTGCGGCTTCGTCGCATACCATCACCATCTCTGACCGCTACGACGCATCCATAGCCGCCATCTCGCGACTTCGTCAACTGGCTCTACTGAAGACAGTGAGCCTCCCAGGCCGGCGGTGCGCAGCATTGCTGAGTACCATCGCCGGAGGAAAGGCAATATGAGGGAGTGCGCTACCATCATTTGAAAGGTTCGGCCTATGTGGCAGCACAACAAGGCTGTACTTGTTCATCTCATCACGCGGCATCACCTCGTCAACGAAGAGAGACACGCGAACATAGGAGGCCGTTAAGAGGGAGTAAAATCGAGGGGACATACTACGGTAGATCCACGGTCGATTCAGCCCACGGGAAAAGTGCAACGACGCTCAACTTCCTCTTTTCACGGCGCTGTGCCATCACGCAGAGACACGTGGATCCTCCGACAACAAAATCGCAGAAGTCGTGTATCATCAACAAGGAGCGACAAGAGAAGAACATAGGCTGTCAAGAGAAGACAACTTCGCAGGGATCAACTAGGGTAGATTCAGGGTAAAAAAAAAAAAAAAAAACTAGAGAGGGGGGTACGACGAAAACACGAGACAGGGATTGTGAGGCAGGTCGTAAGCTGGGTGTCAACAGGGAATCTCGAAACGGAGACGAGGTGCACATCTGGAAACCATGTCCACTCCAACAACTTTGACGGAGCCAGCGAAGATGGACGTGGAACCCACATATGCGCAAGTGGCGAGGGCGCAACAGATCGTACTACAACAACTGCCACACACACAGCCGACAGCGGGAAGGGACATCACTGAAGACCAGGAGATCAGTCAACCGCCGGCTAAACTTGGTCAACAAGCTCTTGATTTCCTCATCAACAGAACAAGAATCAAATCACATGTGAAAATATTGAAGGAGAAAATCAAAGGTGATGGAGGAGTACAAACAGAAGTGGACGTGTGGGAATACCCAGAGGAGGACATGAAAGAGGTCAACGCTGTTTACGAAAAACAAGTTGTGCTTTTCAACTTTTCGCATAAAAGCAAGGAACTCTCATTGAACGACAAAAGGGCGTGGGTGCTGGACCGCCTTAGAGCTCTTCAAACTGTGCCAGGGATGGAACCAGACATATCCCTCCATAAGAGGGGGAGGAACACGGTCATGGTGTTATGCGTAGAGGAGAGCTACGCCAAGTACATTAAATCTCTTGATTCCCTCAGCTGCAAGGGGTCGGTGGTCACCATCAGAGCATGGAAACCCCCACGAACACCGCAGGGTGAGGCAACCAGACACGGACTGAACGTGCTGCGATAGCACTTCTCGGTTCAATTTGACAACCTCTCGGAGGGCCTCCACAACATGATCAACAAACGTCTGGAGACGCAGTACCCCAATAACCTGGTGGTCACATGGCTTGAAGCGGGTCCGGAGTTCCTGGCCCCTAACCACGACTCCAGGATAGCATGTTTGAGCGTTCCGTCAGGAAAACCTCCGGTGTTCCCGGAGGTCTGGCTCTTCCGGAAAAAGGGACAAAGGGTAACAATCTTTGTATCCACAAAAACCAACCCAACATGTTTCCGCTGCAAAGGGAGAGGGCACCTTGGGAATGACCCCAACTGCTCGGCGAGCCAGTCAGCGGAAAGACATCAGGATCCCAACCAAACACAACTGGTTGAGTGTGCAGATAAACTAGGAGTGTGGTATGTGGACCCGCCGAAGTTCAGAGGATGGATCTTCGATGACAATCCGCAAACACCGAGATGGGTATGGACCCTGTCTAAAACTCCGGCGGTGAAACTTGACATCTATCCAGTAGATGGAGAGGGACAGGGCCGAGGAGAATGGACGAGGAGGGGATTGGTCACCTCACCAAGTCGATTACAAACAAGGACGCCATAGAGGAAGACAGACAAAAACTACAAGCAATGGTGGAACTGGCAAACATAGAAGAAGCGGCAGAAAAGGCTTTTTATAACCTCGGAAAGATGGACAAAAATAAGAGGAAAATAGCGGGATCTGCTAGGGATACAAGAGAAGCACACTCAAAAGAGGCAATGGAAATAGAAAAACATGGCACAAATGTAAGTGAGGGCTGGAAGAGGAAAACAGCAGAGGATGGCGTGCCCACCGTGCACACGTAGGAACCAGATGAAGACCAGACAGATGAGGACCAAGGTCAGGAAGGAGTCACATAGGAAGACGTTGACTGGCTACAACAAGCTGTTACCGACCTCGAACGTGTGCAACAGCTGGAATTCAAGTTACAGCTGGCACACCAGCGTTACACTCGGAAGGTACACCAGGTGGGGGCAGGAGCAACCAATGGGCAGACCGCTACTCCGACCAGTAACAGATTTGAGGCACTGCAAGAGGAGAGTGTAATGTCAGAATTTGTGGTCCATCACTATACTCTCAAAACCAGGGTTGAGGGAGACTCTCTCCATGTTGACAACCCCGAGTACGCCAAGTAATTCCATTGGCCTAACACATACACAGACAAAGCAGAACATCCCAGCAAATCCAAGCGAGGGAAAAAAGCCGAGGAGAAGAAAGAGGGGGAGACACAAACGTCGGTGGAAGGCACAAACTCAGCCAGGCACGGCTGCAGACCTGTGCCGAAGAAAAGCCATAATGGAAGCTCAGTTCGCCACTCTCACAACCAAAAACGAAGACTTCGCTGCCAAACACACCTCGTTGCAGAAGATAGCAAAAAAGCAGACAAACGCTGTAGACGCAGCGGCCAGGGTGGATGCCAGGAAATTGGATCACAAAAGAGTCCTCATCCCACGCTGCTGGAACATAGCACATAAGGACTGGGAAGTCGCCGTACACACAACAGGAGCGCTGGTCACGGTCGCAGAGAAGTCTCTGCGTGATGGTTCCCTGGCCATGCAATTCAAGGACGCACTCACTCCGCTCTTTACCTTGGGAGGAGAACAAAGCAATATGGAGAAATGGAAGGACGCAGACGGCCAGCAGCGCGTAGTCGACCTGAGGCCAATAATGGTAAGGGTGTCAGACAAAGTGGCCTTGAAAGAGGACCTGGAATGGGTACCATGGCAGGTGGTGGAATCAAGTCCGTACGGTTTGCGGGACATGGAATGGCCCCAGAACGGGCGGCTCTGGCAGCGACACTGGTGATCAGGCACTGACTCTTCTCGGCGAACGTGGGGGCCTGGGGCAAGAAAATTAGCGCGCTGGCAGAGAAGAAAGAGGCATTCTACATGAAGCGTTAGAAAGATAACTGAGACAGATAACTAAAAAACTGGTTATCTAGACGACCATGGACGTCCAGGCAGACCCGCTGTCTCACGGAGCAGCCTCGCTAGCACCGGACCTGCGGGTCATCTCATCGAATGTCAATGGTCTAGCCACTGTTATCCAATATCAGCAAAAATGGAGCAATATCACGGATGCTGTGGGCTGGTATGGGAGAAGCCCACCAGACATACTTTGCCTACATGAAACGCACTTAACCGAATCACTGGAACACAACAAGTACAAAAGGAGATATGTTGCCGTCTTCGCTGGGTGCATTTTTCCCTATGGGCACCAACTCCGATGCCAGGATCAGCAGGCACAGTCATCCTCGTACGCGCTAACACAGAGGCAGCGCAGGGCATAACCATAGAGACAACACAGTCGGATCAAAGTGGCGGGAGATGGGCGAGACTGAACTTTCATTTCAAACAGGAGCATTTCCGCATGCTCTCAATCTACTATCCGAATACCCGTCAGCACATAGCAGAATTCGCCAATTCTCTATTACCACTTTGTACCACCACGGCGCACCTGATGCTAACAGGAGATCGGAATGCCATGCTGGATGTCAGGAGACTCTACTGGTATAGACGGAATGGCATGGGAGGAGGCGGCCCCTATACATAGCCTCATGATGGAACAACAATTGGTGGATCCATATCGAGCCCTTCAACCCACCTCTAAAGCTTTCACCTACTTTTCAATCCATTTGTGGAAACATAGCATGTGTTTCTAATCATGACTTTCAAGCATAATCGTCGTCGACACTACTCAGCATCACGAATTGACTTCTTTCTCACATCTGAAAGTCTCCAGGAGTCCAGGGCGCAATCCTAACAACGAGAATCAACGATCTGCTATACTCTACGGGACTGGACCACAACTACATATTCTTGAACCTCGCCCTTGAAGCTACAACAAAAAGAGGACCTGACTTCTTCAAGATCAATAACTCTCTCCTGGATACACAGATCATGAAGCAACACATCGTGGAGACATGTGAAGCTTTTGGCACTTGTACTACTTCCTTCCCACAAGTGGTGGGGAGTCTATCCATGGCCATGATCAAGGCGTCTTGCATTCTGGCCGCCAGAAGATCATCAAAGGAGGAGTTGGAAGCAGTTCTCAGACTGACAAAGAGAAACCTCGTCGCTCAACCAGGTTCGACAAAACTAAAAGAAGCGTCGGATGCGGCCAGACAGAAACTGGTTGAGCGGAAGTTATGGAAAGACGCAGGCTTATGCCTACGCGCAAGAGTCAAGAGTTGGAACAGGGCGATAAAATGACCAAATACTTTTTTCAAAAGATAAAAACCAACGACACATCATTCTCATCACAACAGATAGAACCACTCAAAACAAAAACAAACTCATCGACCGACTGAACACAGGCGACACAATCACTTCAGATCCGGAGCGTATGCTATCCATAGCAGCAGACTTCTACAAGGATCTATACACCTCCAAAGAGAACCAATTACCTCAAGCAGTTGTAAGGGAGGCCAGAAACAAGTTCTTGAACCACCTAGACAAGACCCTGTCAAAAGAGCAGACCGAAGAGTTGGATAAATTTAACCACTTACTCAACCATAAGTGAGAGCAGGGTTGTATTTGCTTCAACCGAACAAGATACCAGGCAGAGATGGTCTATCCAAGAAGTTTTGGCAAACCTTTTGGTCGGTGTTTGAGCAAGAGTATATGTCCTGTCAGAGATGGTCTATCCAAGAAGTTTTGGCAAACCTTTTGGTCGGTGTTTGAGCAAGAGTATATGTCCTTTCTCAGCAAAGCAGAGTTACAGGAAGGACTAGGAAAATACGTAAGCACAGGAGTGGTCACCCTGCTGTACAAAAAAGGAGATCCTGCAGATATCACAAACTACAGGCCGATTACGCTATTGATTATCGTATATAAAGTGTTAGCCACACTTCTGGCTAATCGCCTCAACAAGATCACCAGCAGTTGTTTCCACATCGATCAGACGGGTTTCATCCAAGAAGATTTATTCTCGACAATGTCGTGACTTTGACAAAATCAACTCATTACATCAAGGACAGACGACTCAACGCAGCCATACTGTTCTTCAATTTTGAAAAGGCGTACGACCAAGTTAACTGGAACTTCCAGCAGCACTGTATGGAACAGATGGGGGTGGGACCAAACTTCCGAAGATGGGTTAGAGTACTGTATAATGACGCCCATAGTCAGGTCCAAGTCAATGGATTTCTCTCCAATCCCTTCAAGATGTTACACTCGGTCCGCCAAGGGGATCCGCTCACGGCACCATTGTTTCTTTTTATGATGGAAGCGTTTGCATCCTTTCTGCGAAAGGATCCATCCATCGACAGACTGGTCGTTGAACCGACTCTCCACACACATGCGGTGACCCCTTCGACTAAACTACTCTTTGCGGATGATCTCACAACCATCATCAAGGCTCCGAGGCTTCCTTTCATGGACTTATCAGAGCTATGCAAGCATTCCAGCTTGCCTCAGAAATGAAAGTCAACTGGCACAAGACCATGGGTTCGTGGCTGGCAGACAGTCTGCAACCTCCCCATGAAGTTTCCCCAATAGGGTTCGAGTGGAAAAATCCGAGAATGCCCCTGCCTTTTCTGGGAATCAAGCTAAGCCTTGCAGATTCTGGACCAGACCAGGCCATGGCACCGGAGATGCTAACGAAGATGTTACGCAAAATGGACACCTGGTCCAGCATCTACACGTCAGTCTTCGAAAGGGTGTTGGTACTTAATGCGTCCATTTTTCCCATATTGTGGTATGCAGCCACAATCTAGACACCAGAAGGCAACATGGTCACAGCCCTCAAACGGCGAGCAACCGCTTACTTATGGACCGGGAATCCTGCGACACAGCGCTTCATACCGAAGGTGGGTTGGTCACGCATCATCCAACCAAACGGTGAAGGTGGTTTGGCAGTCCTTGATCCGGCTACTCAAACCAAGGCCTTTCAAACGAAGTGGATTGTCAAGTTACTACTACAACGACTCCCCTGGACTACGCTGGCCTTGAACAGGATCAGACAGCTGCCTAAAGCCACCTCCCCGTCCAACATGCAAGGGCTCTTCTGGGTAATGTTGAAGTCTTGGGCGACTCGCAGCAACGTGCAA